TTATCTTCTATGTATGTCTAATATGAATGTCATATAAATGAATATAGCGCTCCTTTACTTCAATACTGTAATAACTCAAAAAACCCAAAACTCGAGAAAAACGGATTTAAAATTGTGAATTTAGTACAAATAGTGCCATAATAAAAATTAATATACATATATTTTGTTCTAGTGAGCTAGTGAGAGGGCCGTGGCCAGGCTTTTTTTCGGGGCGGTTCTAACAAAATATTTTTTTATTTTCACTTTTATTTCAATATAGTTTGATGAAAAATAAAATATTTCAAACAAACATGAAAAAAGTAAAAACCTGTGCATTAAACATTTATGCAATTAGAAAATAATAATCAACAAATTTTCGAACGAATTTCGAGTATTTTAATTAGATTTTGAATAAGCAATGAATTCTAGTAGAATAAAGTACAAGTTTCAAATGGCTAAAATGGTTATTTTTTTTAGAATTTTTAAAAAAGCTCGAAATTTGTACGAAACATGTTGAATTTTTTTAATATTGCACAAAGTGGGAAACTTGGATTTACACGGGTTTTGTTAAAGAATTAACTACATTTTTATAAACAAAAATAACCAAAATTAAATCACAACAAAAGTAATACGTTAAAACTTTGCAAAATTTGTTTCGGCTATAATTTGTTGACCACTGTATGTATTTTTTTATATATTTAATTGGACACGCACATTGTATATAAAGGAGGTACATAACAAAATTAAAAACTGATGAGGGTGAGAACACCAACCCTCAAGCTTTAAAACTCCATTCTTAACTTTTTTTATTATTCTGATAAAAAACTTGAAGTTTTACAAAAGTTTGTTGAATTTTTTTTAAATATTGCACAAGGTTTGAAAATAAAGTTTATATCGTTTTAAGTGCAGAATACACTATTAAAAAAGTAGTTTTGAAAAAATTTACATAAATTAAAAAAAGGTTAAAAAAGTCCACAAAATTTCGACTTGAAATCTGATAAAAATAACATATATTTGAAACTTATTCGTATAAATTCATAAACTTTCTGAGTTAAAGCTGGTCAAAATCAAACCCTGGTAGCATCCCCTATTTTTTTTTTTTAATTTTGACATTTTCGTGGATGTTTTTATTTTGTATGTAGAACAAAAATGAATTTGTATACATACCACGGTAAGCGGATTATATCCCACAGTAGTTGTCTTGCGGAACGGATTCGAGAATGGCAGGTCGACATTTAGCAATTTTCCATTATACAAATCGATAACATAACGTATATGCGAATTTGTCTCCGTACATGAGTCGATCGCATACAAATGGCCGCATACAATGAACATTTCCCCAAATTTGCGATGGTCCAAGGAGATATTGAAATTGTACTGCATCTTCAGTGTATCCGCGTCGAGCTGAAAAAAAAAAAAATATCAAAAAGTGGAGTTAATTTAATTTTCACGGTATAAAAGAGTTATGCATGTCGCTAGCTTAGAGTGAAAAGCTGCTAAGGCCAATATTTTAAATTTTACAACAGAAGAAAAAACTTTGAAAACAACACTTCTCCGTGTTCAAAGCAAAAAAAAAAAAAAACTCGATACAATTTCGTATAATCAGACGCTTATGAAGGTATTCGTATTCCCTCAGACTTTTCGAATATTTTGTGGCTTCTTTCGCCGAGTAGAATGAAACAAGTAGTTCTTCTATCGTTTTGGAAATTATGCATTTTTTGAGTTTTCCTGAGGTCCTTCATCTAGAAGTGACTTTTCATAAAAATGGGGCAGATACGAATACAAATATAGACGCGAATAAGAATATGAATACAATTCTTCTTTTTCCCAATTGTTTATCTCATTTACAAAGTGGCACCGGTTATTCATTCCAGGTGCAGACAGGTCCTTCTGCTCGAGGAATGGCCGCTTTCGTTTTCCACTCATTAATGCCCAGTCGAAGGATCTTTCCAACAGGGCGTCAGCAAACATGCGTAGGGTATTCGTCGCTGATGAGAGCGAGGCCATAGATCTTACGTAGAATAGTTCACTCAAAAGTCCGAAAATCTTTTTGTTTTTATTCAATATCAATGAGAGGGCAACATTTTTCGGTAGAAAAGAAAACATCATTAGGGATTTCCACTAAGCAGCGACATATTTCTTCGTCGATAAATACTAGAGTTTAAATAGTCGAACGACAAAGAGCTGCCGCTTCCAATCCCTTGTTTGACCTCGAAGTTTTCAGAAAGATACTTCCCAATTTGTTCAGAACTTAAAGTTTAACTATCCGTTCTTCTCCGCATTAGTTTTGGCAGGATTCTAAATTAAGGTATGGCTTAAGCCGCTGATATACCAGTCTTATGGCATCTATTCATCAGACCAAATTCTGACTAACAACTGGTACATGTACCCTACCAGCTTTTCGCCATTGAAATTGTACATCTCAGCCGGTATTCCGTGAAATTCGAGGAATTATCATCATTACATACATACATATATATTTTTTGGGTTCCTCTTCACCAAACCTGTCAGCTTCCCATCTTCGTAGTTGGAGGAAACCGTTTGATTGTTGCTTTATTTTCTGGTATAGCTTTCGGACCTGCATTTCTGCCTGCCAGCTTATCAAACGCTTTTTCAACTCACGCCTTTCTTCTTCCTTAAAGGACGTTTTTCCACCTTCCTCTATTCCCGTTATTTCTCAGTTGTGGGCCGCGTCACGATTGGCTGAAAAAAGGCGTACTTTTCCAACGCTCATTTATGTCCGATAGGATATCCAACTGCTCATTTACATATGTATGTATGTATGTCCGGGTAATAGAGAGTTGCTGGTTTAAGCAAGGTGGCTATATGTTCAGCCCGTCCATTGCGATTGCAAATTTTTAGACTTATGTCTTCACGACACAGAGGCGCATGCGGACGTTAGTTGCCACAAGGCAATGATCTAAGTCGATCTAACCTCTTCGTATGGAGCGGACGTCAAAAGTATAACTTCTTCTTGGTTCTTTGATCACTGGAGGACGAAGTGGTTTGGCCGATATTTCGAAACTGGTGTCTGTTTTTACATACTACCCAAAGGTGTCGTCATGAACGCTATATTTTCAGACTTTTGGGCTAAAAAATATGCCTTCTTTCCCAGTAGATCCGGAAAAGTATTGTTGGCCACGACTACGAAAAAAAAATAGAAATGTCCACACTATCGATAATCGTATCGATAGTTTAGATAAAGTCCTAAAATTAAACACAACAACTTTTATTGAAAATAAGATCCGGATTGCTAAAATATGTCCATATTTTTGTTAAGGAACAAAAGTTGATCAACTATTTTTGGCTTCAAGCAGCATCTGCGCTCCGAAATATGTATGTTACTGAATAATGTATGTATGAATGGAAACTATCGATAGTGCTTACAAATCCATCGATTTTTTCGATAGTCAAAAACTATCGATACTATCGACTAACTTTGCAGTAGCAGCGCTGATATGCCTTCTCTTGATGCTCATAGAATCGCTTTCTTCAGAAGGAACTGGCGCTCAGCTTTGAGACTAGCTTTCGCAGCCTGCGCCCAACCAGAAATCCCACGGGAAAATTTATGGGCCGGCTCTTGACACCTTCGACAAAAGCTGCTTGTTACAAACTTCCAACAAAACTACAATGTATTTTCGGGATTGCGGTGGAGTCAGCTTTTTATAGGACGCAAGCATACCAAAATTGGATAAAAACCCATTCTTTGGCTAGTCTACGGACATTCCAACTGCATTTCCGTAAATCTTGGTGCTTATTTAATAGGCGAGGGTTGTGAATGTAATTTAGATTTTAGTCCGAGCCACAGACATGTGTATATCTTAAACTTTGATAGCAGTCTGCACTAATACATCGAGCTACACGTACCTAAGCACACATACTTATATATTAGATGAAAATAAATAGTTGGTATATTAAAACACTCTTGTAGATATTTTAGGAAAAACTTTATTTTTTTTCTAACTCTTTTATCCCTTCTCCTGTATGAGCACTTAGCTCAACTTTATTTAGTTCTCGGAAAATCTGCCACATTCGTTTAGGTTTTCCACGACAGCATAGAAAATTGGAGTAAAGATTATCGTTTTGAAATTCGCGGGACTATTGAGTGCACATTTCACTTCCTTCTGGATTCTTTGTAGCGCTAAGTGCTGCGGTGCACTGCATTCTGCACTCTTCCTCTGCGGCACACAAATATATTGGTGCTGACGTGAGAAGCCAATTTACTTTATCCACACATTTATTCATTGCTTATTTTCTTTTGCCGCAAATAGTTAATATGATGAAACAGAGAGAAAAACTAGAAGCTAAGCGAAGATAACACATTAAGCATTAAGGAAAATGGCTGCTCGTGTAAAGGTAGCGCAATGAAATAATGGTCCGTCATAAGCAACAGATGCAAGTATTTATGTATATACATTAGGGTACCCCACAAAAAAATTCTGTTTCTCCACCCGAATTATAGTTAAACAAATAAAATTTTGGGAAAATATTAAGATTTACGTGAGCTGGAACGATTAGAAAATATGTACTTCCAAAAATCTTATTATTTTGTTTTGTTCCGTTCCCGTAAAATTTTTTTTTACATTTTCTTTATGTTTTTTTTTTTGGAAAAAATATTTTTTATTACTAATTTAAAGATATTTTAAAATCAGTCTAGCTCTAGTAAATGCTAATATTTTTCCGAAATCTTTTTGGCGAAATTCTCAAAACATAGCATAATTTATAATTTCGATGGAAAACAGTACTGAGTTTTTTGTAAGGCGAGTGATACACCCTAATTTGCATACAAGTATATGCTTATAATTCTTGCGTACAAAAGTATACATTCATATAGAATCGCAAACACAAGAAGATATAGAATGACTACTGAAGTACATACATATATACGAACGGTTTAGTTTTAATGAAAGAACAACATTTATATAGGCTGAAATAAATCCCCTTTGGCATGAAATTTTTAGCTTTGTATGGATGTAATGGCAAGCTGCTTCACGTAAGAAAAAATGTTGTTCTTTGAATTCTAAAAGAAAAAAAACCAAACTAACACAAAGCGGACAAAAGCATTCGTCAAATTTTAGAAGCATCCTCTGGTGATGACCACCACACTACGTCAAATCTGACAGCCACTTTTCTTACAACCCGCTCCAGCTTGCAAACAAACAAAAAAAAACAAGTTTCTCTGTGTTTGTATAATTCCATATATGCAGCTATTTTGACTAAGTATGCCAAGAACAAGAGTGCCATAGAAGTTGATGCAAAATTTTGAAAGTAAGAATTGGAACTAACCCAGCTTGCAGTAAATTCCTGACTAATAAAGTGTCCTTTTCTAAATTATAAACAGACAAATTGTGCAACTTTTCAAATAACCGAAAATTTGAAAGAAATATTTACATACACATATTTTAGAGGACACCAAAAAAAAAATTCTCAAAAATCAACGCGATTTTTTAGCCATTTGAAACTTGCACTTAATTAAACTATAATTGTATGGGCTATAAAACTGCATACCCAAAAATTTTCTAAAAATTCAGAATAAGTTGAAATTTTGATGTAAATTTTTTTAATTTTCCTAAATTTTGTATAAAGTTTGAAACTGTAATTTACACGGATTTGGTTAAAGCGTAGACGATATTTTTATATAAAAATAACAAAAAAAAAAAACTTTAGCTCGAAAAACATTACGAATATTTGAAGAAAATCAACACGTGGTCATTTGTTTGAGTCACTGTATATACACCTTTTCACTAAATGTCTGCACTCACCTTGGCAACCAGTGTATTGTTGGAGTCATAAGTACTGTAGATCACCCACAGACCAACCTCATCCACATTTAAGTCCATGTAATTGTGGTCGGTAGAGTATAATCGATTGCCAACAGCGGTACCAGCATACGGCAATGGGGTAGCTGCAATGATAACATGGAAAAATAGTTAACAGTATTTAGCAGCTGATACATTTCTATGTCTGTATGAATGCATAAACAAACATACACATGTGCATTTGTATGCATGTCCGATGCCGCATTAACAGAATGTAGTAAAAATTATTCATCAAATGCAAACAACGCATTATTTTCCCAATTTTAAAATGTAAAGCAACTTTAATTGAAGACAATAACACAGTTCAACAAAATTTCCAAACAAAATAATAATAAATCAAATATCGGCAAAATCCGTGTTTTTACCATTTTGAGGTAAGGATATTTCAAAATCCTGACGTGCTAGAGCAATTCTGCGGCCAGATTTAGATTCAGTACAAGAAACGATGTGTTTTACTCAGGTGGTTGAAAAAAAGGCAAAATTTGTCGAAATGTGTATTTAAAAATTATTTAAAGGTACTCGTGTAAGCTCTCGGACAAAGTGGCATCAACGCATAAAATTTCAGCGACCTTTTTATGTGATAGCCCAGTTGTGAGTTTCAAACAGAAACGCATATGTATGTACATCTCTTAATATATGCAAATAATGTACTTACATATTTTCTTCATTGTTGCCAAATCCAATTTTACGACCAAATCGCTATTGTATTGATTATAGTAAAATGATCCATTATAGACGACATGTGCATTTCCCTGAAAATGTAGAGGAATTTTTTATAATCAATGCAAAGAAGAGACTTCTATATACAGTATCGGCCATATCTATAGCACCGCCATTTCAAAGTGATATTATTTTCCACGTACAATTAATTATTAATTTTTAAGAATCTTCAATTGAAATACAATTCATTCCCTTAGAAAACCCATATAAACCCAAGTTTTAAACTTTGTAAACGACTACAAAAAATGCAACAATTTTTCACCAAAATTTTAAACTTTTTCCTACGAAGTGCTAGAACTTTTTTGGGTACGCAGTTTTATAGTCCATTCAATTTTAGTCTAACAATGTGTAAGTTTCAAGTGGTTAAAAATTGCCATTGATTTTTTTAGAATTTTCGTACTTTCGTAATCTAATCCGCTTGTACGTTTTTTTTTTTATTCAAAAGCCGAGGATACAGTCTTGGTGGTGCAGTTAATACATTTACGGGTCACGGCTTCATTTATGCGTATGCCTTTGTTGTGTGCCGCTTTGTGTTTTTTTTTAAGTAAGATTTATTTTAAATAACCCAAAATGTATGCCCAGTTTTTAATATAAAACGTTACTACACATAGTAAATAAGTATGTAAGAGAAAATTCACCTGAAACCCTTCCGGAATATTGTATTTGCGACGCGGTGAGAAATTCATGCGATATTTCATTTTCGTTGGATACTCGTACAAATTGTGCGTATCACTCTCTTCCGTCACATAGGTTTTTTCATGATCAATGTCCGAAGAAGCAGCTGGATCTCTCAGCCAACTACCGTAAATATCATTTACCGACTTATGGAACACTGGTTTACCTACCGCATATAGCAGCCAGCCTAAAAACATACAGGAGAAAATGTGTCGGACAATCAATATTTATTTCTTGTTATTTGAGTGTAAAAAATATAGAATTTTTAATTAAAAAAAATAATTGCTATTAATAGTGGATGAAAAATTAATTTATTGCCTTTTTTAATTCCGACAATATTTCTGGGGTCATAAACTATATACATATTTATAAGTGGTACACTAGGCGACAAATTAGAGTACACACCTTGTTCTTGCTTGTTCATAATTAATTGACCATCAGGACAGACAAATGTATATCCACTTCTTTTTTCAGTTGTGAAATAAAGAATTTTTTATGAAAAATTTACAGGAAATAATATTACGCATACGCCATGTACACTCTTTTCTGCTCATTTTTCAGCAGTCATTCCTTTTTTATTTATCCATCGATTTTCTTCGTTAGTAGTTTGATTTTTTTGTAAGAGATTGTTAGAGACCAGGCTTTAAAACAAATGAAAACATTTACACAGATACAGTTACTTTTTATTATTTCCCTGTTAAAGTTGGATTTTTTTTTTTTTAATTTTTTCATCAAAAGTTTTGACTCAAAATTACAAAATAATCTGAAATGATTAATGAGAAATCTCAGAAAGATCAGGCCTATTGAAAAATGATTTATACGGGCAGGTTCTGCAATTCACTTCCGAGTGAATTTCAACCCCTTCCAATTTGAATTCAAAGCGAACTGGTCTCAAATTCACTCGGAAGTTATTTGCAGAACCTGCCAGATAATGATTTTGTTAGCTTTCATTTGCCACAATCCGTATTAAGAACAAGCAAAACGGAGCTTATAAAATTTACCAGAAGGGTGAACGAGATCCTTGTGGTAGGTGTGTTGTGTTGTGCGGCAGCCACTGCAACCCAACCTAAGATTCTCACGACAGTCGGATTTACGTAATCGAAACGACCCAGATTGATATCTGGCCAAGGACTGTCACTAAACCATCATTTACCGTAACCCCTTGGGGAATTTGTATGCTATTATAACAACAACAATCTAACCTAATCCAGGCTATTTGTGTGCCACATTTTATCCAAATCCCTTCATAGGCTTTAGCGTGAGGAAGTAACATTAAATATATTAAATAACTAAAATATATTAAATAACTAAATATATTAAATAACTAAGTAGTAGGATTATTTCAAGCACAACAACAAATATCCTACCTATAGTAAGTATTTGTACGAGTAATAAATTAAAATTTTTAAATATACTAAACAAATATTTTTACTCACTCTTTTGTCGCTTCGGCAAGCCAGGATAACTATAATTTCCAGTTGGCAGAATTTCGAAATTCGAATTGATGGAGTCCTTGCACTGGTACAGGCTGAAACAAATAAAATACTCATTGCATTTAATTCTTCGAAATACAAAAATATGTAACTGAAATAAATATTTAAAAACCAGTCTTAATCAAAAAGTACGGACAGGTGTTAATCAGCCGCGTTGCAGCTGGCGGTGAAACCAGTTTTCTTTACACAAAGACAAAGGGCAGATAATACGTAAAAGTCAACAACTACGAAAAACAAAAGGTATCCATAAAACGGATTAATGTGAAAGATTTGTGCAAGCGCAGCCTTGAATTAAAAAGCGGAGCGTAGCGTTTGCAAGTAAGTAGCTTTGAGAAATGTAATACAGCAATGAAAAATGAGTCGTTGCAATAATGAAACTGATTAAAAACTTTATTTGTGGCTAAATAGGCTGAGGTTTTATATAAATATGTATGTGTAATTCTACGTAAGTTTATATAAATACATGGACGGCCATGTGTATAAGCTCTGACAGTTGTAGTTAGCTTATCCTGCATATCTGTATAAGTTACCATAGACGGCGGCAAAACAAAATGAAAGTTTATAAACAGAAGAGTGAAAATTAATTTAAGTTATCCATTCGCTCGACCACGCCATCGTAAAGTTGACGCCCAACCCACGAACAAAAATAATATCAGGAACAGTTGTGATTGCAACACTACTTAATAGACCGGCCGGGTACAAAACTTAGTAAAACAAGTCGGATTAAAGTTGTGAATTCGTGTCTCTTTTTTTTTGTTTTCTTTCGATAGTATTTTGTGGTAAGCCTAAAGTGGCCATGAACATACTTATTATTGCATATATATGTGCGATATATTTTTATGTACATACTTAGGAGAAAGTAAAAAAAAATTGATCAGCAATTGAAAAAAAAAATAATTATTAGACCTTAAGAAGAAATTGGGCAGCAGTAAATATGAAGTCTTAATTAAAAATCGGTATGGCTACTAACTACATATACTTCCGCTATCCTCAACCCTAACGCGTTGGCCAATCAAGATACATATGTACATGTACTAAAATGTACGCTTTTATGGAAAAACGAAAATAATTTATGATGGAAGCAGAAGTATAAGAAAATTCGAAAACGAGAAAATGGAATCAACCTCTCACAAGGGATAAGCTCAGCGCGAGTTAAATTCACGAACCTGCCCTGTTGCACTTGGTATATTGAAATCCCAAAATATTTGTTTAAAATTAGCGCCAGAAGGGATCTTTCTGCCAAAAGTGTGGTATTTTTATTTCAAAGCAATGTCAAATGTCAACAATGTTCCGTTTACTTTTCAAACTTTTGAAGTAGTATTCATTCTCAAGCTAGGCAAAAGAGAACGCTGCCTAAGGGCTTTTGGCCAATCAGTCTCTCGTCTCTTGTGCTCAAGACTTTCAAAAGGCTAGAAAAAAATTTCTACTCAACAGAATGCTTACCTAAAGCAGCGCTCTATAGAATCTGCACTTCACCAGATTGTACAAAGGTAGAATCGTAGCTGGAACAAAAAAAAAAAAACCAAATACGTTGGAACCTCCATTGGCTATAGAGCAGTCACACAGCAAACTAGTGATCGAGGACGTGGTGGTAAAGCCGATCTCAATTGTGCTTCGCACAAGGCTTCTAAACGCTAAGTGAGCTCACCAAGCATTAAAGCTGGCGACCCCGCAAGATGGTGTACTGACGTGTTCTTGGAACTTGGAAATATTTAGGTTTAGTTAAATCCACCGAAATCGAACTACTACTTTTATTTACTAAAAGGTTACATGTTTCTAGTTTCAATCTGCGTTACTTAAATGTGATTACTTTTTAACTCATATCCCGTGTTAAGTATTTGTAAGTCGTTTAACACCAAAACTAAACTGGAAAATGAAAACAGAGCGCCGAGCTAAAGAGGCGAATTGTGCTCTGTATTCTTGCAAGGAACATATATTTAAGAAGCGGGGTCAAGGTGCTACAGTGGAATTTTAGAAATCGCTGCACTTAATCTCTATCACAAAAAATCCGTGAATGAGTAACATATGAGCCTAAAAATATGCAACACGAAAGCCGGATGGGTTCGATATAAAGTCATAAGTTTATGTACTTGTTATGCTTCCCTGGAGGCGTCGATTATTTTAAGGCGCAAGCTTTATTCATTTAGAGATTTTTAGCGATAGAAATTTAGTGTGGCGATTTTGGAATCCCATTGCAGGTCATATGTTATGTATGAATGTATAAGGAGGTAATTCGTTGACTTATTTGCATATGGTTCGCTGGTTTAGTGATACTGGGTCGATCATGTCATGCACAACCTTAAATGAATGTCATGAAGCCTTAAATGTCATCTGGCATTGCCTCCGATTGATCTCTATATTAGCTAGAGTGGTTCACAGATTGTCCTGAGGTTGATGGAAGTAACTCTGGGGAAAGAACGTGCGTTCGAGAATGGACTTATCTGTATATTTTTATCAATCGGATTACGGTGAAAAATAAGTTACCAAATTACCAAATATGATAAATAAAGAAAATAATTAACAATTTCGGTAAAAAAAAATGCCAATGCGGCAACACTGCATGTGTTACATATGTACATACATACATACGTACGAGGACAAACAGCTTATTCCGTACGGAAGGTGCGATCAGTATCGCTCTTTCCTTAAGCAAATGACGTTTGGCGAAACTTGACGAAACTTTATGTTAAGCACATTATAGTTTCAGAATAGGATTTATGTGTATTCGCACGTTTGCATACGCTTGCTTATTCATATTATAGTTAGCCCTAAATAAAATTGTTTCTCCATATCTCTTTAGGCATTTATAAAAAGTATACATACATACGATTTTCATATACCGTTTGTACCTAAAAATTCTCATAAAATTCCGAAAGTTTTAAATAAAGCAGAATAGGCCACGAATATTCCGGAAAAGGTCTTTACAAAATCTCTAAAACCCCGAGTACTACCTAAAAAATCTTGTCAGAAACCGAAAATATACCACAAATTCTAAAAAAAAAAATTGAAATAAGTATCCGGAAATCTCAGAAAATATTGGAAAATCCTAAAAAATGTTCTAATATACACGAAAATGAACAATTAATTTTATTTAAGTATAAATCGACAGCGGAAAATTTATTTATTTATTTGAGGCACTGCCCTTAAGTTCCTACCAGGTATTTCCACATACATACATACATATGTATGTTTATAAGTATGTAATATTCGGCATACGGAGTCTGCTACTATAGTTATCAACGCAATTCCCCGTTTTCTGCCATTTCGCCAAATTTATGTATTTTTCTTTCCTTTGCGCATTTTTTCATTTATTACCGCTTTGCGAATACACTCACCTTGGGTCGGGACATTGGTCACAAACTGGACATTCACTTTCCGGCGGCCGCTGTCCGTAGAATTTAATTTCCTTTCCAACATATGGTATTTCGCTGTTCGGATCTTGCGCTGAAAATTGAATGAAACAAAAAATCTTAATTTCAAAAAAAATGTAAATTGCTTTTGCTAACAAACTTACGCGCTACTTCAAAGTTAACCATTGTGGCATTCATTTCATTACGCGCCACACAATAGTAGTAACCGAAATCGTCTTTTCGCAAATCCGTTATTGTCATACGCATAGTAGTCTTGTAGCTGAAATTAAGGAGACATTTTGGAATTGATAATTTAATTTCTTATTGAATATTCCCTGCAAACCTAAGTTCCCGAAATCTTAAGGAAATCGTTAGGAGTATCTCATTTCTGTAACGATTTTTTTTCCGAATTTTCAAAGAAAATTATATGAAGTGGTTGACACGAACTCGTAAAGAAATTTCTGTACGAAAAATAAAGAAAATTCTGGAAAAATTCTGAAAGATATTCTTCACATAGCAGCATTATTTTCGTTGCTTCACAGATTTTCTTCCGAAATTTCGTAAAAGAATGGAAGTGTGCGTAATTTATTTCATTTTAGAAAATTCGGCAAAAAATCAAATTAAATCTTAACGAATTCTTTAAAATTTCTTTACAATGCAGAATACTCTGAAAAAAATGGTTTGCAGGGTTTCTGTATATTGTATTTGTATTTGTGTATATTTGTATGCGTTAGCCTTAGCTTACTTACCCATCTGAATAAGTTTCGATTCGGTATTTGTCGCCTGGGTCGAGAGTTTTACCATCGTAAGCACGTTCCCAATATTTAATAGCTTCAGGAAAGGCTTCCACCTTAAATTAACATTTAAAATTTTTGTACTATTATGGAAGAAAACTTGAATAAAATACTTAATATTTTCAATGAGTCGAGGTACATCTACGCATTAACCTTCAGTGTTGTCGATAGTGATGTGCTGAGTTATCGGTACCCAATACTCGGTATCCAATACTTCAGAACAATACAATACGGTACACAATACTTCCTTTTCGGAACCCAATACCAATTCTATACACACATAAAACCTCCGCCATAATATACAATTCACGTTAAGAAAAAAATTTGTTGCTATTTGATATACATATGTATGATATCGCCTAAATAACAATGCGGCGTATCCATGTCAAAAAAATATCAACACTAAAATTAGTTGCAGATTTTAGACATACATAATTTTTAACCTGTCAAAAAAGCTGCACCAACTTCATTTCGACTACGAATATGCTGCACAATTAGTGAGAACTAGCAAGTACCCGGCGTGCTTCACTGCGCCTTAAAAGTAATTTTGTGTTGTTTAATACTTGTAATGTAATATTTCATTTATTTTATCAATTTAATTAAATACGACTTTTCCAACAGGTGGCAACCCTTCTAACAAATATTTTCGGCAGTACACTTTCCTAAACCTCTTCAGTTTGATACCCATATTGCTGTATTTATTTTATCTTAACAATTTACTTAAACTGCAATTTTCAAACAGGTGGCAACTCTCTCATGTTTTTTTTTCTCTTTTTTTTAAGTTAGACCTCTAGCAATATATCGGTGAAAACTGTAATCAATTTCATGCATTATTTTTCGAGTGATGCGCGTAGAAACATACAGCCAGACAGACAGACAAAAATTCTTAAAATAGTTGACTTGGCTTCTATTGCTCTAATAAAGACCCCCCCCATACTAAATTTTCTTGAATATCTGTAATGTACAGACATCGACCTGTTACAATTTTATTATATGTGTAGATAAGACGATGCTTTCCCAAAATTTTAACAATTTTTACTGAACAATGTTGAAACCACATATCGCAAATATTGCTGTCGTAAACAATACTCTCTCATCGCCTTATTCACCTTATCGCATCAGTAAAATACCATTTTATAAGTTTCAACCTTCGTAGAACTAAAATTCAAGAAAAAAAAACATCGTCCGATTCATCTTAAAAAAAATCTTTCTCTGCAATGTGGCGACGGAATTTTTTTAATTTGAATCAGCATCAAAAGCTCTATTAGCCCTTACACTCGGCTTTTGATAGGCCAGACTCGCCTGATTTGTCTTTTTTTCCATAATTTTGGTATAAGTGCGTTATTATTAGAAGCATAAAAAATTCGATTTCGAGTATCGAAAGTATTGGATCCATTTTAAATCGGTACCAAGTATCGAACCATACCTAAAAGTATCGACTCGGCACATCATTGGTTATAGACTTTCGTGCGAATTTTTGTTTTAACTTTTTTGTAAAAAAAAATATTAAAAATTAAAAGAAAAACGTAGATATCATTAGGAAAAGTTATTTAACTTTATCAACCACAAGCTATAAATTTATTCCAATCTGTATACTTTTTCTGATTTCGTTAAACTATATAGGCGACCAATGAGTTTCTAAATTTTAAATAAACTTATTTTATATTCCACTACGAATTGCTTGAGTTAGCATTAAATAAGCCAGACAAAAACTCCACACACATCCTTCAAAAAAAATTTTTTTTTTCTATGTGTTTTTTTCTTGTATTGTAAACCGAAGAGCAACGACAAGGTTACAAAGGTTGAGTGATGCTGCAGATGATAAGCATTGTTCCACTGAAGCTATGATGTGCGCAGACGTCAAACACACAAAGGGGCAAGTACAACCAGTAACAGGTGGATAAATAAGTATGTATACAGACAGATGTAAAAAACTTTAAGAGGCAGCACAACACGCAAACCGTAGCGCCACAATAGCATAAATATTAAAAAACACACACAATCGTCATAAAATAACGCAAGGGTGCTATCGCTCTGGACAGACGTATGTAGTGGCTCTAGGTGTTTCGATGACAATAAAGCAATAAAGGCTTAAAAAACATTTCGCCTTGTCACGATTAATTAAATTTTCTTCAGGTGTATGTCAGCAGTTTTTATACATACATATATGAGGTAGACAATGTACACTAGGCTGGTGCAAAAATGCATGTGAAAAAAGTAAAGTCCGAAGTTCTTCATGAAATGTTATAAAATTCTTGAAAATCTATATTTTTCGATCGGAAAACTATGCTTCGCTTCAGGAGACTTCCGATAATAATACCCAAATGTTTATTTTAGCAGTTTTAAATACTAACGATTTTTTATAGGTCCCCAATTACATTTTTAGGGGCTTTTGGGGAAAAAACAATTGAGTATTTTCATTGAAAGTCTCCTGAAAAGAAAGAGAGTTTTCCCATCAAACAAATGTTGATTTTCAAGAATTCTATACCATTTTTATGAAAAACAGTTTTTCCTCTATAAAATCTATATAAAACTTTGGCACTTTGAGCGTGTTTTAAATATTTTTTGATTTCAAAATAAGAAAAAAAACAGGGGTATTTTTTTATGTATGGAACATTCCTAGGGGCGAGAGCATTTAAATTCGGACTTTACTTCTTTTTGATGACCCTAATGTACTCACACATGTACATATTTATATATACATATATAGACATGTGTGTGCGTATGTTTTTCCTTCATAGTCTCTAGCTATTTTAAGGTCTATCCGCACACAGCAGTCACGGCACGCCACAGTTCCGTCACTTCCGAGGAGCATCAATCAAAAAATATATCGCTACCTGTGAACTAAATGGCACAATTCACACTGGACCACGCGGTAATCTAATAAATAAATATTATAAATGTGAAAGTTTGTATGTTTGGATGTTTGGGAAATCATCACGCGGAAACGACTGAACGGATTTGCATTAAATTTTGTACGCAGATAGCTTATGGGCCAGATTGGTTAATAGGATATTCTTTTAAGAGTTGCCACCTGTTAAAAAAGTTTCATTAAATTAATACGCGGAAACGACTGAATGGATTTGCATGAAATTTTGCAAGCGGATAGCTTATAACCTACTGTAGAAAATAGGCTAATTTTTTGGAATAGTTGCCACCTGTTAAAAAAGTTTAATTATATTAATACGCGGAAACGACTAAACGGATTTGCATGAAAATTTCCACACAGATAGCTTATGACCTACAGTAGAAAATAGGCTAATTTTTTGGAAGAGTTGCCACCTGTTAAAAAGTTTAATTAAATTAATACGCGGAAACGACTAAACGGATTTGCATGAGATTTTGCACACAGATAGATTATGACCTAGGTTAGAAAGTAGGCTACTTTTTTTAAGAGTTGCCACCTGTTATAAATGTTTAATTTAATTAATACGCGGAAATGAGTGAACTGATTTGCATGGAAGTTTTCACACAGATAGCTTATGAGCTAGGTTGAAAAATAGGCTACTTTTTTTAAGAGTTCCCACCTGCTAAAAAAGTTTAATTAGATTAATACGCGGAAAAGTCTGAACGGATTTGCATGAAATTTTGCAAGCAGATAGCTTATGACCTACAGTGGAAAATAGGCAAATTTTTTGGAAGAGTTTCCACCTGTTAAAAAAGTTTTAATTAAATTAATACGCGTAAATGACTGAACTTATTTGCATGAAAGTTTGCACACCGATAGCCTATGACCTAGACTGGAAATTAGGCTACTTTTTTAAGAATTACCACCTGTTTGAAAATGAAATTTTGCTCAAAGATGGTTTATGACCTGGATTGAAAAACAGGCTACTTCCTTAACCGGTTTTCCGATCAGAACGAAATTTAGTACACTTATTACGGATTTCGGAAGGATGGTCCTAGACTGAAAGTAAGTCCGATAACTCAAGGCCCCTCCCATACAAATTGGAATTTTCATATTACATACATATCTCTGGAAGTATTTGTGGGAGAGAACTGAAACTTGGTATAGTGATATCTATGTGAAATCAATGATGGCATTAATCGATTGATGTTTTAATCAGTTAGTTAATTCGATTAAATTCAATCTGATTACAGTTAATCATGATTAATTTTAATCTGACTAAACAGTTAATCGTGACCGCGATTTAAGAATTAATTTTTAATCATTAACTCTTAATTTGATCAAGTAGGTTTGGTGATTAATTAAGTTATGCTGGCAAGTTAATCCGGTATGGCTAAGTCGGGTTTCCTCAACCATCTAAGCAATTTCGTGTGCATTTTCATTAAGATATATACCAACAAACGTTTTACAAACTAGGTTTCTAAAAGTTTATGTATTACTAATAACAATAATTATAATTTTTTTATATTATGTGCTTTTTATAAGCGTAAAACACAAAATAATTACTATAACTGGTGTTTGGTTTCAAACTCGGACAAACTAGACAAATTAATCAGATTTTATTTTTAATTGGATTAACGATTAATGTTTTAAATTAATTAAACGTAATCGTAGCCAGCGATTAACGATTCAAAAAATGTTATCATTAATCGTACAGTTGATAACGACTAATTAATTTTAATCGTCAAACGCGATTAACATTTTAATCGTTAATCAGATTAACAGTTTTCCAACACTGTGTGAAATCATGTTCATATTCACGGAGAAAAATGGACGTTTTTGGAAAAGAGGCGTAGCACCTCCAATATTGACTGAAAGTTTCATATTGCATATCCCTTCAAATGTTTGGGGTAAAGTACTCAAGGTTGGTATGGAAATACATATGAGAGTTATTGGAAAAGGTGATGTAACAACTCCCATGCAAATTGATTTTTCTATGCTGCATATCTCTGGAGGTGTTTATTGCAGAGGACGGGAATTTGGCACCGAGATGTGTATACAAAATTAATTCCATACTCATGGAGAAAAATTTGCGTTATTCGAAAAGGGGCATGGTACCTCCCGTACAAATTTACTTTTATACTGCATATCTCTAGAGATGTTCATGGTAGAGTACTGGACTTGGTACTGGGGTATGTAAAATCAATT